GGAGGAAAAGGACTGAGAGTCACTAGGAAGGCTCCATTCATCATAGTCATGTATTTTCATTCACTGCCACCAAAACATATTTACAAACTTTAATCAATTTCAGCCTGGCTGAATTATGTGCCAATTTTTGTAATGAAGAAAAAGTGAAAGGTAAGTAGGCTCCCATTGTGTCTGTTGTCTGTAGAATTTAAAGTTGGGTATACTTTCTAAACTCATTTCCCTTTTGAGTAATACCTAAGTCTCAAAAGTAAAGGAAAAAATCATGCAACTCTTGGCATGGGTAAAGAGAAAGAGAATGAGCAACCATTACAAAATGCTCCATTAATCCCCAGGGGGCCTGGGTACTGTGAAAACAGGACTGCAGGACTATGGCAGGGAGACTGGGCTCCACTGGGAACAGATGACCCTGAGGTCAGAGTGCTGCTCCTGCCTCAGAGCATGAATTTCCAAACACAGGGGAAATTTACCTGTGGCAGTGCACATGTGTGTGTCTTTTTTTTCATTGTCCCAGAAACCCTAAGATGTTTGCTTCCTGTTGATGGCTTCTGATTTACCATGGGCTGGCTGTAAGCTCCTTAGACCCCTGGGACTCTCCAGCTGGCTGACCCAATCAAGGAATGTCAACACCGCTGGACAAGCACTCAAGCTCTGATAGGCATTTCTTCACAGAGATGGAGCTGAGAACTTGGTCTGTTGTTTTCAGTAGCAGTTAGCATCCTAAAACCCAAATGAGTACCATTCAAGTCAGCAACTGTTGAAAGTTCCTTCCTGTTGTTTCTCATTTACACTGTTGTTGTTGTTCATTGTGTGTGTGTGTATGCTTTTTTATTTTACAAAGTGGCACTGTGTCATAGCCATTTGCAAAATGCCTTTTTTACTCATCATTAGACCGTGGTCATCTTTCTACCTTTGTACTTATAGACTGTGATCATTAATTTATGTGTCAGGTTGGCCACGCTGTGGTGCCCAGTTCTTTGGTGAAATACTAGTTGAGAGGTTGTTGTGAAGTTAGTCTGTAGATGTGATTAACATTTACAATAATTAAGTAAAGGAGCTCATTCTTGGTAATGTGAGAGACCTCATTCCATCAGTAGAAGCTTCATGAATAAAACTGAAGCTTCCCAGAAAAGAGGAAAATCTGCCTGAAGGGTGTAACATAGAAATAAGTTTTCAGCCCACTCACCTGCCCTACAGGTTTCAGACTTGCTATCTTACACAATCACAAGTGTGTATGTATGTGTATGTGTGTGTGTTGTTTATTCTATAGATCTTATTGATTCTGTTTCTCTGGAGAACATTAATGAATATGCAAATCTACCCTATACAGCTACCCACCACCCCACACTTTTCCTTTATATTGTACTCATGTTTTTTCTCTTCCTTGTAGAAAAAGAAGGTGATGAGATGTCATTGGATGAAAATGAAGCCAAAGAGTTAAAGAACAGGTTGATTATCATCAGGTTAAAAGAAAGTAAAAAGGTCTTTAGGATGCCAGATAGTATATACATTTCTTTCTTCGTTTGTCTCTATTGATGTTAAGATATCTTTGAATAGAAATATTATGAGAAGAGTTTCCATATTCATACAAGACTGGAGTGGGTTTCTCCCTACTGATGTATGTTCAGTTTATTCTCATCCTTTTGCTATTATGAACAATACTTAATTTTCAAAAAGGCTGCCGCAGTTTAGGTGTTGAAAGTCTCCTAAAGGCCTTGTGTTAAAGATTTGGTCTTTAGGGTAGTGGTATTGTGAGGGGCTGCCAGTCTTTGGAGGGTGGGGCCTTGTGAGAGGTCCTTAGGTCATTTGAGGGCTGTGCCCCGGAAGAGGACTGTGGGAACCCTTCCTCTCTCTTTTGCTTCTGGGCCTTGAGGTGAGCAGTTTGCTCCACCACATGCTCCTGGCATTGCCACCTGGCACCCATATCAAAAGCTCCAAGCAATGGGACCTCTGACCATGGATGGACTGGAAACTCCAAAACTATGAACCAAAATACACCTTTTCTCTGTATAAGTAAATTATCTCAGGTGTTTCAACACAATGACAGCTAATACAAAGTCTAATATAGGCTTCTTTGTAGATACCAAGATGTAGGCTGCGGGCTCAGAAGACCTGCTCATTTAAACTCGTCAATGTTAACAGAACTTCCAAATTGCCCTCCCAAAAGGCTGTACCCATCCTCTCTCCTCTCCCCAGGGAATAGGAGTGCCATGTCCCAGCACCTGTCACATTTGATGCAATTAGTTCTTGTTTTTTGACAATTCCATAAGTGAAAAATGACACGTCACCTTATTTTCATTTCCCTGATTACCGATGAGGCTAACCATCTTTTCATATATCAGATTATCTCATATCCTTAATTTTTCTATGGATGATTTATCTTTTTTCTCTTAATATGTGTGACTCTTGCTGTTCATTTTTTTGGTTGCATGTTGCAAATATTTTCTTCTCTGATATCAATGTAATGTGTTGGCAACTCTTGAGAGTCCCTTCCTGTTGTTTCTCATTTACACTGTTGTTGTTGTTCATTGTGTGTGTGTGTATGCTTTTTTATTTTACAAAGTGGTATTGTTGTCATAGCCACTTGCAAAATGCCTTTTTTACTCATCATTAGAGCTTGATCATCTTTCTACCTTTGTACTTATGGACTATGATCATTAATTTATGTGTCAAGTTGGCCAGGCCTTGCAATGTTTTTATTTTGATATAGCTACATCTGTCTTTTCTTTATATCTTTTTTACTTTATGTCTTTTTTGGCTTTGTTTGCTTTAGGTTTTGTTTTATGGCCATTTAAGGTCATAAATATATTCTCTTTATCTATTTGTAATGCCTTTATAATATTTTATGTTTAACTTTGTAATACATCTAGAGCATGATTTGGAGTCTTTTATTTTTCTCTGCCCAAATATTAGTCATTCTTTCCCCATGGATTTGAAGCAGATGACTTATTTTTAAGAAGCATCTATTAAAGTGGTTCAGTGATTTTTCTCCTTTTGAAGTGTCTATGTGCCTGGCTCCCAGTTGATGAGGTCCATCTTCTCAAAATACAATTGTAAACCAGTTCCTCAGTGAGTGGTCCATGCCCCCAAGGAGGGGGCCAGACCTGTATAGGGTACTCTTCAAGAATCCTTAAAAGAGGGAAGAATGAATGGATTCCTCCTGAAACAGACACATCCTTTTACACTGAGTGGACAATCAGCAGGGAGTGAGAAACCAGAAGGAAAGGGGTTCTCAGATCACTCACATCTTTCAAGACTCTGCCCATGGAAGCCCAGATCACCAAGGCATCATTCCACCAGTGTCCTCACATTGTTCCTGTGTAGCCTCTGAGAATGGAATGAGAAGGCAGTCTCTTCCTAGTTCCCTCCTCTTGTGTGTGACATACAGAGCCCTTAGCCTCAGCTTTAAGAAGAAAGCACACAAATGGCAAAAGGCTGTTTCCCTGAGCATCTACCACACTCATGAAAGCAATGTATGCCACAATCGGAGGTGCTGCCTCTAGATTTGTTTTCAACGAGGCCACCTCCAGCTGAAAACTCACCGAATCCAGGTATTTAAAATATTTTTTTTTTGGTACCGGGGATTAAACTTGGGACCTTGTGCTTGCGAGGCAGGCGGCGGAACCACTGAGCTAAATCCCTAGCCCCTTCATAAGATATTTTGAAGTGAAGTTGTCAGTTTGAATTTTTAGGATATGCATTTTAGATAAAGTTTCCAATGAAGCATTAAGAGCTGATGGTTAGAATCCAGATTCTTTCTAGAAGAAGAAACTCTTTGTTCTTTTTTGGGAGAAGAAAATATTTCCAATTGTGTGTTAATTTTTTTTGCTGCTTCTGTTATAGCTGCCCAGCCATAGTAGACTGAGGAACAGTGTTGATCACAGAACTATACCCAAGTTGAACTGTGCCTTTCAGTTGTGTGAACCACCCAAAGCTAAAGGAGGGAGAGCTTTGCTTCCTCCCATGCTTTTACTGGCCCCCACCTCCAAAAACTGCCTTTTCTTTAGTCTAACAAATTATTATATTAGATTTTCTAGTGTTGTGTTGTTCTTCAGTTTCTGGATTAAGTCTGACTTTATCCTGATGTTTCTTTATTTTAAACATTTCTGGATTTGATCTGCCAATGATTCATTAAAGAATTTTTTGGTGTCCAGGTCCATAGTCAAATATAATAATTCTTGTTCCAACAGAGATTTCAGATGTCCATGCCACCCCCTCTTCAATCTCAACACAATCTGGACAATGAAGAATCATTTAACCAGTGTCCTCTGGCCCCATGGTACTGAAAATATTTCCCCCAAAAATGAAATACAAGGTTAAGGATTGAGAAAAGTGGGCATTGATTCTTAAATATCAACTCCATTCAGTGTCTGCCTTTGTCAAGAGGCAACCATGTTTTCCACTCCAATAGTTATTGATTATCCAAGTTAGAGACTGAAAATACTCAGTCAGAAACTCCAGAATTTAATAGCTATAAATGGATATCTAACTCAAAATTATTCAAAAGAAGACACAAAAATACTTCTAAGAAATTAAATCAAATACATGAGCAAGGAATTTCATTACCACAGCAAAAGACACTTAGATGAAATTTTAAGAATTTTTGTTTGTTTTTGTGCTGAGTGTTCCACCCCAGCCCCAAGACAAATTCCTGACTGATGTGTGTACTTTTTACCCTCAAGTAGATAGTTGCTGGTGACCTGATTTGATTCATTTAGAATTACAACCTTATTTGCCACTGTTTATGACCGAAGCCAAATCAAATTTGTTCCTTTGACATGTAGGTTTTAATTTTTAGCCACAGGTTTTTATTTTTACATTGACCACAGAATTTCCTCTGGCTTTTGAATCTAACATTGGCCATTGGTTATTGCTCTTCTGAATATGATCTGGTGGATTGGCCTTGTTTCTTCCTCACCACTACCCCTACTTATCTACATTTAGGGCTCTTAGTAAAAGACAAAGAGAGGAAAGCTTGAAGGGGTCAAACTCACTACCTGCCTGCCTGGTTTCTTTGCACACAGGTAAGATATTCCTCCACATCATCTGGGGACCCCAGAATGAGGGGGATCCGTTGATGAATACTCTCGGGCTTCACGTCTAGGACAGGCTGGGTGCCTGTGGTGGCCATGCCTCCCGCCTGCTCAATGATGTAGGCCACAGGGTTGCACTCATACAGGAGCCGGAGCTGTGGAGAAATAGAGCCAGGTGGTTGAGCTGTGTGAGTGGCCAGACATCCTGAGCCCTGCCCCTAGAGTTGAGGAGGAGTTTGAACTTCTGAGCATCTGTGAGCCTGGATGCACCAGCTGTACTCATCCTGCACACATCTGGGGGCACTTTTGGCCAGGTGGCTGGGACATGTATCCTGTCTGGTGACCTTTGTGCTAAGGAGACCTGCCTCTTGATTTGAAGGTACACAATCCAGAAACCTATTTCTTGGTGGTTTAGCAGTGAGGCAAACTGATTCTGTACACCAACTTAGAAGCTATTATATGTAAGGCCTTCCAGCTTCTTAGCAAGAAGCCAAGCATGGTGAATTGTAAGGTCACCTTGACAGTGCTAGGTGATATCTCTGGGGATAACCACAGTGGTGGGGATGGTGTAGAAGGACCTCCACATCTCAAGTATTAGTTTGGGTAAATAGTTTGCTGGTATTTCAATCTTTTCTTTTGGCCCATTACCTAAGTGAAATCCTGTCTTTTCCCTTTCATAACAGTCATCACATTGAGGTTTGTTTAACATCTGACTTCTTCCTCTCTTGAGAGAAGCCCCAGTGCAGGTGGGTGCACTTGGGAAGGCTAGTTTTGTCCCTGACCAATCCACAGAGGGGCACTGGAGGGCACATTGTCTTGGAGAGTCTGGCCATGGAGATCCTCATCTTGACAGTTTGTAGAACTCGGCTTCTCCTTTCCCACTTTCTTTGCTCTGGGGGCTGACAACAGGGGAAATTAGTGGTCTCAGACTATAACCAAGCAGTCTATTGAACGAGATACTTTAAAAAATAACTAAGAATTGGAACATTTGTTTTGGAGCCAAGTTACTTTTGCTCTGATCTGAGAGGTCCCTGTTGTAGTCAGCTGGTGTTAACAGCAAAATTCCCAGGATTTCATGATCCATTGGCCTGCTGCCCATGTGATCCACTCTTTTTTATCAATTAAAATTTACATGGCTTTACAGAGACAAGCACACAGAGGTGTTATGTCTATGCCCACGTGCAAGTGCGCACTCACACACAAAACACACAAACACACACAGACATGTCACAGAGACCACAGGAGCTGAAATGTGGAGGTCAGGAACAAATGTACTTCCAATATGTGTTACGCTGATGGTGCAATGAATGCAGATCTATATATGGGATTGCATGCATCTGTAGAGCATATTTATTTAAATAATAACAACAACTAATTATTAATATAATAATTACTATAATTAGTTATTAACAAATAACTAATTATTTAAATAATTAGTAATAATTAGTCTTGATGTCCTTCCTGTTAAACCAAGCATCTGGCAAGAATTTAAGAATTTTCACATCTTTTACTTCATCTCACATAATACTCCATTGCACTTTTATTTCCTTCAGCACCTCTTGTGCAGACTTCTCTGTAATTGTTAGTTCAACAGATTAATATACATGATTAACAATATAGCAAACACTGCCTTGTATCAAAATCTGTGTATCAAAATCCCTTGTCTCATTTTCAGAAATTATTCTGCAGCAGAATTTTTTTTTTTTCCTGGAGAACTCTTCAGGGGATTCTTGAGTGGACTTCAGAGTGTCTATGAATCCTCCAAAAATGATGTGACATTTATGTGCCTGTTTTTTCTAGGAAGTAGGCGATGGGTTTTATTAGATTCTCTAGGAGTCAGTGATTGCAAGCCAGTGGGTGCTGCTATGAAAAATTAGCCACAGCCCACAGAAAGTGGGAGATGAACGCAGGAGACTCATGGCAAAGGATGAGCATGAGGCCAGAGAAGTGAAGGCCAGTGACAACCAGAGCCACAGTCACATCAGCCTTCCTCTTCTCCAGATCTTCTACCACAGCTGCAAAAGTCACTACTGGGAAACAGAGCTTGTTTGTCTTTCCCTGCCCTCTCACAAACATGCAGGCCCAGGAGCAGCGCAGCAGCCACACAGTAGGCACAAGGAGATTCCTGCTGGCTCACAAAGAGATAACACAGCAATTACCTTGCCCTTAGGACTCTTCTGGTTGGCTGGGTACAGGAAGATCCCTCCGTAGACCAGGGTGCGGTGCACATCAGCCACCATGGAGCCCACGTACCTGGCCCCATAGGGAGCACTGCCGTCCTGGAAGGCAGAAAGGCAAGAGATGAGATCCAGTGGCTTTAGGAAGTAGCCTACACCAGCTCCAGGGCACAAGTCCAGTTGGTGCGGCTTCCACTTTCCTGGCCCTCTGATATCCATCCACTGACATAGGAACTGAAAACCTGTAACTGAGCATTTCATTCATTATAAGGCCATCAAAACTCAATCAAGGACTGAATTAATCACACATAGGACTACTTACAGTAAGAGCATCCTGCAGCTAACAACAATAACAGCAGCTAACAACAATAAAAGTAGAGTCGGTCCTTCATATCCACAGGGTTCCACATCAAAAGATTCAACCAACCATGGATCAAAATATAAAAGTGGCATCCGCACTGAACATGTACAGACTGGTTTTCTTATTATCATCACTTGAACAAGGCAGTATTACAATTATGTACACAGTATTTGTGTTGTATAAGGTATTATAAGTAACCTAAAGATGATTTAAAGTATAGGGGAGGATTTATGTAAGTTGTATGCAAATACTACATCATTTTATATAAAGAACTTGAGCATCTGAGGATTTCAGTATCTGAAAGGGGTCCTGGAACTAGCACCCTGTGGCTCCCTAGGGATGACTGTCTACCCAAGTCACAGCTGTTTGGCAGCTCCTTTAACCTCCTAGTGGCTCATTAGGGTTCAGTTTTTAGCTTTCTAAGGACCAGACCTCCTTGATCAATGGTAATGACAATTTTGCACTTGCTTCATGCAGTCTGTCCACTGAAAACACTTTAAACACCTTTAGAAATAAATTTAAAAATATAACAATTTATTTAGAAGTCTCAGTTTAATTAGTCACACATAAATGAAAGGAATATTTGTTCAGAGAGAAACAAGAAAGGTCATGATTTTTCTCAAAGAAGGATGAAATAGGTAAAACATTGGATATATGATCCAATCACTCCTTTGGGTAGGTTTATTTTTCCTTCATTTAGCACTCACCTATGATTTCTTTGTCTAATCTAACAATTTCTCAGGGTAGTCATCCATTGTTTTGCATTCTGACAAAACTCAGGATTAACACAGCACGGTAAAAATAACAAGTAATGGTAAGCTAAGGCAAGTTTCAAAATAAGCACTTTGGGAAGAGAGACTTTACAGACTTGAACACAAGCTAGAATGAATATTGGATCAAGACTTGTGTTACGGCTTGTGTTTAGATGTCCCCCCAAGGCCTCATGCAAATGAGGTGGGGCTATTTCGGAGCTGGCTGAATCTAGAGTGCGTGATTCATGGTGTAATGCTAGGCCTGAGAGCACTAGGATTAAGGGTATGAGTGCTATCCACCCTGTATAGTCTAAATAAGATAAAAGGGGCAGGAAGATGCTGTTAATTAAGGTCTCTTGTTGCTTTTGCTGTCTTCCGCCATGAACTGTTGTCCCTCTGCCACCCTGCCTTGGAGTCAGCTGATTATGGACTGAATGAAACCTCTATGAACTGTAAACCAAACAAACCTTTCCCTCTTTAACTTTGGGTGTTGGGTATTTTGTCTTAGCAACTAGAGAAAAGTAACTAAGACAACTTGATATTAAAAAACAAAAATAAACCAGTGCCTTCTTCCTCTGTCACCCCAGTAAGCCTCTCCTTTTTTCTCCCATATTCTGCAGCCAAGCTCTCCTGAAAGAATAGTTTTGTTTGGTTTTTTTTTGGTACCGGGATGCAACTCGGGACCTAGTGCTTGGAAGGCAGTCAGCAGCACTACTGTGCTAAATCCCCAGCCCTGAAAGAATAGTTTTTACCTACTGTATCTACTTCCCTTTGAAAAAAATTTTAACTTATTCTAGTTTATTTTTAATTATGAGGACTATGATTTTAATAACTTACTGACTTGTTTCCTGCTATATTACACATTAGTCTATCTGGCCCTTTTGGGAAGATTCAATTAATCTGTAGTCTTCAATTTATAGATTTTTCAAAAAGTTTATTTAAAAGCTGGGCCAGGGATTTAGCTCAGTGGTGCTGCTGCCTGCCTCGCAAGTGCAAGGTCCCAAGTTCAATTCCCTGTACCAACCCCCCCCCAACCCCCCCCAACCTCCCACAGATAAGATAGTTTCTCTTATGCCAAAGGCAGATTTATATTAAACATAAAACTTTACATTAAATAACAACTGGAGAACTTCAGGACCCTGATTTAGGTTGAGGAATTAGGTAACTTCCTTTATTATTTAGAATTCTTTTCTTACAAGAAAGTAGGACAAAGATCTTTACATTTTTTTTTTCCAGTACTGGAGATTGAACTCAGGACCTTGCCCTTGCAAGGCAGGCGTGGCACCACTGAGATAAATCCCCAGCCCTCAAAATCTTTATATTAACATTGAAATATTTATTAATATATCAGGTTCAGTGCTTTCTCTTTTCTAAGAGTGACCAGAGAGTCTTGGATGCTACCTCAGGTGGCATCTGGAGTAGAAGGAAGGGCTCCTCTGTGTGGGCAAATTTAGAGTGAAGAGGAGAATTTTTTTTTTTGAACTGCTTTTAGGTTGTGTGTGGTGGTGCATACCTTTAATCCCAGAACTTGGAAGGCTGAGGCAGGAGGATCACCAGGAGTTCAAGGCCAGCCTGGGCTACATAGTAAGTTCAAGGGCAGCCCAAATTACATAGTGAGACCCTGTCTCAAAACAAACAAGCAAACAAATCACTGCTTTTTAGATTGTAATTTTATCTGCTCAGCATTCTGGGTACAATAATATGTTGGCCACGTGTCTAGTCGAGTAAAGTTAACCTATTCTGTATATAAGGCATATACTTCCCAGTGTTTTATTTAATTTTACTGTCTCCATTCTTAATTTGTAAGTTAGCTTTAATGTCTAGTGAAATTTCTAAGAAACTGTCTAAAGCAGCACTTTTCACATTGTGGATGGAAATCCATTAATAGGCCATAAAATCCATACAGTAAGTCTTTACTAGCATTTTTTTAAAAAAATGAAGTGGAATCTAAACAAATGGAACAGAACAGAATGGAATGGCATGGAATAGAATCGAGTAGAAAAATATAATTAGAGTGCTATAGAGCAATAGGTAGTGTAACTTTTGTTTCAGGTGTGTGTGTGTGTGTGTGTGTGTGTGGGTGTGGGTGCGCACACACATGTGTGTGCTCCTGTTTTCTGAATTAGATGTAAAATAAAACTTTTATGAGTAATCACAGTCAAAATGTTTGAAAAATTCTGGCCTAATGAACATAAGAAGAATTGTATCTGTAGGAGGCTTTGGATTTGCTTGTGTACTCCTGGGGGATCTCTTGGTGAATTCTATGGAGTCCCTTAAAACATTTGCTCTGCTTTGCAAAACTGCAAAGAGTAGTTTTATTTTAGAACTTCAGTGTTCTTCTAGTCTTAGCAAGAATATTTAAACTGGGCTGTGAGTAAGGATATAAGAGAAAAATTGTTGAAAGAGTAGAGATTTGCATTTGGGAGAAAATAAAACAAAAATTGTACATGATCTTGAATATCTCCTGGGGCTCCAATTTTACAGTTATGTGAGCTGCATAACTAGATTCTAGAAAATCTCCTATGACTCTGCTGAAGTTTTGGGATGTGAACAACTAGAAAATTGTTCTGTATAATACTGATTCAGGAAGCCTACCCTTATTGCCAACCCCATGGAAATCAATATTATAGGAAAACCAGAGGCAAGGACAAGATAAAAAGAGAAAGGAGATTTCTTTTGCAAAATGGAATGATCTATTTCCAATAATGCATGATCGCTGCATATTGCACACATCTACGTGATACAAAAAATAAATAACTTTATAATCTTTATGTCCAGAAATGATTATTAATAAGATAGCAATTCTGTAAAGACATTTTATGGATATATACACATGTCCACGTGTATAAAAGCATGCACATACATATATTCACATGTATGTAATTATACTTAGTTCTGTCACCCATTTATTTCACTTAGTAATTTGTAGATATGTTTCACTATCAATAGATAAAGATGGACTTTTCAATGGAGAAAGAGACAGGCAGCATAATAAATCATCGTGTGGATGTCCTGCAGTATATTAACCAGCCCTTACTGATGGACACTTCAGTTGTTCCTTTCATTGTTGTTGCTATAGACAATGTTTCAATGACATACCCATGTACATTTATCTTTTTTTAAATTTGACTTATTAGTTACTTAGGGCAAATTCCTGGGGGAATTTAGGATAAATTGCTGAGTCAAAAGACATGGATGTTTACATTTTGAAATCATATTGCTAGATTGCCCTCCAAAAGGCTAGGACACTTAGGTTTTCACTAACAATTTATAAGAAGGCATATTTTTCCACACTACCGAGCACTATTTATCTTTCAAACCTTTGCCAACGCCCCCCCCCCCTTTGTACCAGAAATTGAATTTAGGGCCTCACATTTGCCCGTCAGGTGCTGTGCCGCTAAGCTACATCCCCGGTCCACCTTTGCCAGTCTCATCTGCAGACATGATACTGCAGTGTGATTTTAATTCTCATTGATTTGTTGGCATCTTTCCATCTGCTGACTGGACACATAGGTGTTCTATGTGACTTGCAGGATCATTCCCTTTGCCTGGAGTCCTACCTGAGGATTCATCCTTGTCTTGTTGAGTTATAAGGGTCCTCTTGTAGCAAGACTACTCACCTCGTGTCGGTCACATATGTGATAAGTAATTTTCCCCAGCTTGCAATTTACTCTCCTAAACTTCTTTTGCACAAAACTTTGCTTTTTGAGTGGTAAAATCTTTCTTTATGGGTTCTGGAGGGGAAATTTTTTAGTATAGGATCAGAACCACTCTGAAGCCATCTTCAAAGCTCGGAACTTGCAAATAATTTTGATTTTATCAATTTCAGAAGTCATATCCTGTTTCTACTGGCTCAAGACATCTGATAGGTTTGTGTGCTGTGGTACAATACCACCCTACAAAGGAGAGGGACAGGAAACTGTTTTTCTGAGAATGTGACCCTAAAAACACACAAAAAAGAAAGAAAAAAATTTCATAGAGCTTCCATTTCAGGCAGAAAAGCAGATCCTAGTATCCTTGACTGAATGCTACCCAGTCTCCTAAAATCAGCTCTCTGTCCTTGATGTTCATTGTGCTTCAGGGACAGTCTCACCAGCGTAAAACACAGCTCCTTTTCCACCCAATGAAAAAGGGTCTCTCTGGCCTCATGCCCTGGAATTTGGTAAGAAAGATTCACATGGACCATGACATAAAGAGTGGTGCCAACCTCTTTCATGAAGGCCCCCAAAGTCACCATCCAAACAGGACCCACTGAGACAGCATCTGCACTGCCACTGGCCTAAACTGCTTTACTCACCTCAGGGAATTTTTTCTTCTGTACATATTCGGTGGTAGCAGCATCAAAATACTTGGCATAGCCCTCGTTGAGGCTGAAAATCTTTCCTTTCTTCTTAATCTTGACATCTTTTTCTACCAGCACGAATTCACCAAGAGCCTAGAGAGATGATGAGAGACATCAGGAAGAAGAGAGATATCAGGAAACAAGCCAACAGCACACCTCGAATGGATCACAGGATATGAGAGGATGTAGGGGTGTGGGAAGGATCCAGGGGTCTTCTCTGGTCACCCTGGAAATTGCCCTGTGGTGTTTTCATGGGTGGTAGAAAGAATAGCCATAATACAAGATTGAACAGGAAGCTCAGAGAGCAATGGAATAGGAGGTATAAAATAATTCAAGGAGAAGGGTGTGGTGGTGCATGCCAATAATCTCAGTACAGGGAGGCTGAGGCAGGAGGATTGCTGTGAGTTCAAGGCCAGGCTGAACTACACAGGAAGACCTTGTCTCAAAACAAAACAAAACAAAAAATCAAGGAAAAATGTTTGTGGTCTTCTTTCTTTACTTCTGAGCCTTCCAACATCTTCGAGACTGCTTGCTTCTGAGAAACTTAGGTGTATTTATTCCCAAATTCTCATTCTGAGCTCAATGCTTCCTGGAAGATTTAGGCCCTCAACAATGAGAGAAAGAAGTTAAGGAATGAGTGGGCATGCAGTTTCACCATTCATTTGTGGTCTAGTTGTTTTATCTTAATGATTCTGTCTTAGAAACCATTAAAGTTCCTCAACCACTTCTGTGTGGAGAAAACAAGAAGTTCCTTACATCAGATTCTATGTTCACTCAGCCTATACAAATAGGTGGCAAAACCTCAAAGAATCCTCAGAGTGATTAATACAATTGTGCCCAGGGCTCCATCAGCCCTGCAATAGCCACTAGGGACATCTTCAGGACACCCCTCAGGATGCTCTTTATCTGGTTCTGGTGACAGCAGGCCCAGTGGACGTGACCGGTCTAGAAGCAGGCTGGTGTCTGGTTACTAGGAGGAAAATCAGGGCTGACGCATACTGAAGACCTTAGAATGTAAAGAGCTCCTGAGATGACAGCTCATGGCTGGCAGCTCAACTAGAAGATAGTGAAGGAATTCAAACTTCATTCAGAGAGTATAGAGATAAAGCCACCTGACCATGTCTGAAACAAGACAGTGAGAAGTACGTATACTCAGCAACTGCAAAAACAGCCTCTTTTCGCAAGGACCCGAGTTCGATCCCTGGTACCAAAAAAACAAAACAAAACAAAAAAATCCAGCCTCTTTTGCCTAGCATGAGTGGTCACTGCTTCTTTGCTGAGTCGCTGTCTTCATTTGAATCTTCCTGCCCCCTAGAAAGAAATGATCGTACTAGTCATCAGTTGCACCTACTTCTAGACAATATCCAATTCAGAACAGACCTCATTTTCCTCAGGTCTGCCTTGGAATCATCAAGGAAGGCCCAAGAGCTATGATGGTAAGCCCACCTGAACTCTCTCGGCATGGTGTCATATATTCCCCCTGGAGTGCAGGTCCTCTTTCCCAGAAAAATCCAACTTCCTTTTATTTTAAGTGTGTTCCTGATAATCTTTGGTTCATCAGCTTTAATAAGTCATTGTGGACATCTGTTGCTTTATTAGTCCACCATTGAGATTCGCCTCCTACGGGGCACCCACACTTTCTTTAAGGAATTGCTCTTTCAAGGACTATCATCTGGGTCCCTTTAACCCAAGGGCAGGCATGTGACTTAACCTGGAAAATTAGATAGTCTTATGCTTTGGGGCTTAGTAGATGCTCCATAAAAATTTATAAATCTAAATTAAACTGAAATACTGGGCTTTCCCGTAAGTGAATATAGGACTCTTTGACCAAAATTATTTGGCAAAGCAGTTCACAAATGTTTGACAAAGCATTGAGTATTTAAAAGAGAAATTCTATAATTTAAGAAATATTTCCCCAAATTTCTCCTATTTCTAATGTATACACGTAGGTTTGGGCTTTTTTTTTTTTTTTTAAACTTTCCCACCCTTCATCTAATTATTTCTTCCTTCAGACAGGATAGTGTAATTGTGTTTTTCATCTGCCCAGAGGTTGTGCTTCTTCCTTTTCTGTCCCCGATTCTGTCCTGTGAAAAGTGTGGAGAATGATACAGAACCTGAGAGGAACCATTTTTTATCACTGGGAAAGACACAAGTATCAGGGGAAATCCTCCACCAAGGGGGGCAGCCACTCTTTAGATTAATTGTAATGAAACAAAATATAAAATCCCACTGCTCAGTCACACTGGCCCCATTTATAGTGTCTGACAGTCCCCAGAGGCGAGTGGCAGCTATCAGGGATGCGGCAGAGTCCAGGATCCCTCTGTTACCACTGAGTGTTCTAGGGGCAGCACTGAACTGAGGAATCCATCGTCCAGTGTGGAAACGGGTGGCTTTGGGATTCTTGAATCATGATATTCCCATAAACCTGCACGTGAATCATGCCTGGAAAATAAACTTCTTTTGAAAAGCTAGACTAAACCGAGTGTGGTGGTGCTTAACTGTTATCCCAGCATTCTGGAGGCTGAGGCAGGAGGTTGCTTCAGGTTTGAGGCCAGCCTTAGTGAGTTCAAAGCCATGTTTTGAGACTCTGCCTCAGTAATTAATTAAATTTAATTAATGACTCACAGGGTGTGAGTTGATAAAACTGATGCTATGGGACACACACACATCCTCCCAGTGCCTTCCTTTGGACAGATGTCCTTAATCTTTTCACTGATGATGCTAACTCCCCAAACTAAGCTCTCTGGCTCCAAAACCAAGAATTAGGAATGAGCAGGAAATTATCCCACGGGGCAGGGATTCAGGCTCAGAAGCCCACGGTGTGCACCAGTGCTGATGCCATGGTCTTTGGAACCTACCGGGTCCAGCATGAAGAGGTCCACACCTTGCCCCGTGGAAAGCGCCACGAGGGTCGCACTGCCATATAGTGCATAGCCAGCGGCCACGATATTGCGACCAGGCTGCAGGGCGTCCTTTTCTGAAGGTTCTTCCTCTGTGGTCTGTAGGAAGGAAGAGAGCAACAGAAATGCTGTGCCTTATTGTCCTGGCTGGAGAGACCCTTAGCCCGAGGTCTGGGCATCTGGGCTCCTGGGGCCACCAAAGGAAGTGCCTTTCCAGAATGGGAAAACCTGGATAAACCCACTATGCTTAAACTGCTTCACCTGCTCTTCTTTACCTTTCCCCACGCCTCAGTCCTTATGTATTCCCAAAGCTCACCCATCCCCAGGAAGGCGTATTGGACACCACCTCTGCCGTCTCCACCTGCTTGGCCACCTCGTGGATAAACTCTTCCTCTTTTGCAAAACTGTCACTTCAGTGATTGGCATACTGTGCTTGGGCACAATAGGCCTGGCTTGGTAGCAATTTCAAACTGCGGCAAATGTATCCAGAAGAAACGAGGTGGTGTGTTCGTGAAGAGTTCTTTCTTTCTGTTTTCCAAGCACATTTTTCAGCATCCTGCTAAGGACAGCGCTCCAAGATTCTAAACCCACACCCCTCCTAATTGTCGCAAACCAGGCTCCTACTGACACCAAGATCTCAGAGCTCTGATTTTGTGCAGGCTTTGGAGGTAGCATTGTCATTTCCATTGTGCAAATGAAGAACTCAGAGGCTGCGCAAGTAAACATCTCATCCAATATCACAAAGCCCACAAAGCTAGAACATTCTGTGGCTCTCAACTCAGAAGCCCTAAAAACTAGAATCCCAGTGTTCTGACCTCCTGGTTTCCAGGTATGGCGGTGTAAACACTCAGTGTCTTCTTTGAAGACGCCAATCTACTTATTTGGATTAGCCTTCAAAGCCCGTGTTTCATTTAAAATTCAAGAGGGAAATCTCTGTGTTAAAGTTTAACTAAACTCAAGTGTGAGTAATCTATACTGTGAATAATAATATCTCTTTGTTTTTGAACCTATGAGTCTTAAGAAGATATTAAGAGGGGCCAGGGATTTAGCTCAGTGGCACCACACCTGCCTTGCAAGCACAAGGTCCGGAGTTGGATCCCCGGTACTGGAAAAAAAAAAAAAAAGAGATACGGCAGTGGAGTTAGAGGCCATTACTGACTAGGTATGCTTGTTTACCAGGTTTCTTACCTTCTCTGTGGTTCCACTGTTTGTCAGTGAAGAAGTGACAGCGGCACGTGTACCTGGCTCCTCAGGCTGAGGCGAGGCCAAGGGTACAGTGCACCGGGTGAGAACAGAGCCTGACTCTGAATCAATCAGCAGTCAAGAATATCAGCCAAGATGAGAAAATCAATATTTAAAGGCCCTCAAAGATACAACTGGGCGTCTTTTCTCAGAATTGCATAAATACTACACTATCTACTTCTTTCCTTTCCTTTTAGAATCAAAGCTGTGGAACTAACCTAGCTCAGTCTTGCTTAAACTTGAAACATAATCTTGAGCTTCAACACTGTCAGATATACTTGTCTGCTCCCTCAGCAGAAGTCTCCTTTTCTCTCCTTCCAGGGGGTTAGGGGAGAAAGGAGAAAGAGAGAGGATCACCGACCAGAAAAGCAAAATCCTCTGATATGTCCTCATGTGCGGCTGGTCTGGCATTTCACGACTAGAGTGAAATGGTGCCCTGATGCTTCTTTGCTTTTCTTCCCTGACAGTGAGCTTAGGCTAATTCACATATTTTTGCTAAAGTGTGTTTTCTGCTAAGCTTTTGACAGGTTCCTCCTAAAAAATCAAATTTTACCCCTCTCCCTTTAGAAAACAACCAACCACACGTATCTACAGCAATATGAATATCTACAGACCACACATTAGGCCACTTGGCCACACCTGATTCTATACTGAGTTTGTAATCTAGAAGGAGTGCCATGCAAGACACATGAGGAACACTTGATATGGTCATCTTCCTTGGTCTGCAGTTTTGCTTTCCATGGTTCAATCACCCACAGCCACTGGTGGTAGGAAAATACCATCATGGGTTGATGATCTGGGATCACCCAAAGTAGATAATCCTCCTGATGTACCAGGGGTCAGCAATGGCCTGATTCTATGTCACAATGTTACATCATTCATTGTACTCCATCTCATCACATGGCATCAGTCTCATCATCACATCGCCACAAACAGGATGAGAGCAATTAGATAATGTGAGTGACAGACCATATTCACACAACTTTTATCTCAGTATGTTGTTATAATTGTTCTATTTTATTATTACTTATTATTCATTCTTATTGTACCTAATTTATAAATTCAGCTTTATCATAGGTATACATGTACAGTGGACCCTTGACTTATGAACTCAATTATTCCCGAGGGCTGGTTGTAAATCAAGTTGGTCAGTTGAAGGCTCAGGCTCTCTACACAGTCTTCAAAGTCTCTCTCCTGTGTACAGGCAGATCTCAGTGTCCTTAGAGACAGTGGCCCAGGATTTCTCAGGTAACTGCACACAGGAAAGGATGTTGTGATGTTTCTTCCAGAACTCTTTAAGCATTAAATCTGTATCTGAGACCATCTGGAAGCACAAGTGGCCAGCATTCGGGTCATAACTCAGGACTTTGTAAGTGAAAACTAAAATTCTGGTCTTAACCCAAGTTGTTCACATGTCAGGCTGATCATAACTCTAGGGTCCATTGTATAGGAAAAAGTCTCGTACATGCAGGGTTTGGTAATATCAACAGTTTCAGGCATCCACTCAGCATTTTAGAGCACATTCCCGGTGGATACCACGGGGGATGACTCTACAGATATGCAATCAGCATCAGATTTGTAGTATAGAATATAGATGCTCCTCCATGTGTGTGATTCAGAGTTTACTGGAGTGTGGTCTTTGGAGGTGAGCTCTAGAGCCAGCCCAGATCTTTACCAGGATACCAGCTCAGTGGTCCCTAAGACACCCAAGCACCCTGGATCTCCTTCCTGCTAACCCCAAGACGAAGCCCAGACACCCTGATTGCAGCCAGGGATGAATTCTGCACCAGGCTATGGCAGAACTGTGTAGTCTGTATTGGGTGATCTGTTGTGAAGTTTCTGGTCATGTTGGATGGTCACAAAACCAACCTGTAAGATCTCTGTTGTTAGCCTTGCCTGGTAAGCAGTGTGGTCCCAAAGCTATTTCAATTATCCAGAATCTGTGAATTTGTTGTTACATGGCAGAAAGGATTTTGCAGATGTCATTAGAGTTCTGGATTTGCAATAGAGATTACCCTGGATTTTCCACATTCAGTTAGCCCAGTTTAATCCAAAGTAACCCTAAGAACAAATAACTTTCTGTGGCAAGAGGTAAGCAAGATGAGGAGGTAGAGAGGGGTGTCAGAGAGATTTGAAGAGTGAGACAGTCTTATCCCAGCCCTTGCTGGCTTTGAAAATGAAGAGGCCACAAACAAGGACATAGGAAGTGTCCAGAAGCTGTAAAAAACCCCAGACTTTGGCCAGCAAAGAAACAAGGGCCTTCTGGTGCAACCATTGTGGAAATCAGTATGGAGATACCTCAAAGAACTAGGACTAGAGGTCCCATTTGACCCAGCTATTCCCCTGCTGGGTATCTTCCAAAAAAGAATTAAAAGAATCATACCACAGTGATATATGTGCACCCATGTCTATAGTGGCACAGTTTGTAATAGCTAAAGCTTGGAAACAGCACAAGTGCCCATCGACTGGAAACTGGATAAAGAAGATGTGGTTTTTAATAAAATGGAGTACTACTTAGCCATAAAGAATGAGAAACTAGAGACAGTTATAGCTAAATGGATACACATTGAGACGATCCTCTTAAGTGAAATAAATAGGACACACATGTGTAAATGCCTTATAGTTTCTCTAGTGTGAGAAACTGAAAGTGTAAATAAAGATTAAAATTATTAAAATGAATAATTGATAATTTGAAATAGGAAGAAAAGGTCCAAAGGGGTAAGGGTGGTGGGAGGGGAAGGGGAAAGGAAAGAAGGGAAAGGAAAAATTATGAGAAAAGGAAAAAATGGAAACAAAGTCTTTGCAAATAGGGAAGGGCGCACAGGGAATGGGGAAAAAGTAAGAACCAAGATACATCGTGTACAGGTACAAGCACCCAATGACAAATGTAAATGTACTGTATACCTAAAATGTACCAATAAAAGAATTTATGCAAAAAAAAAAGAAAGAAAGACACAAGGGCCTTGATTTTACCACAGAATAAACCAAATTCTCCCAGCAGCCTAAATAAGCCTGGAAGCAAAGCCCCACTTCCAGCCCCTTGATAAAAAGTCATACTGGATTTTGTTTTGATCTTGTCTTGTGGGAGCCTAAGCAGACAACCCAGCCAAGCAGCCTTGACTTCTGACTTTCAGAAGTGGGAGATAATTAGTGGATGTTCCTTTAAGTCTCTACATTTATGGTGAAATGTCAGGGCAGCAACAAAAAACTAATAAATACAGTAAGAGACAAGAAAGAAATGGAGGATGAACCTAGAACCTAACACAGTTTGAACATCCCTAATCCAAACATCTGAATGCTAAAATCCCCCTAAATCTGAAACTTTTTTGAGTGTCAGTGTAACGCCATGTGTGGAAAATGTCACACCTGATCTCATGTCACAGTCACAACCCAGGCCCACTAAAAATATTAAATAAAATGACATACAGGTCATGTGTAAAGGTGTACATGAAAACATAAATGAGCTCTGTGTTCAGATTTGGACCCCACCCCCAAGATATCTCATCATGTATATGCAATTATTCCAAAATCTGAAATCTGAAACATTTCTGGTCCCCAGCATTTGAACTAGAAATACTCAACTGGTACCATATCTGACATTTGTGTTCAACCCAGACATTCACTTTGCCATCCCAAGAATACAGGCAAGAAGTCAGGGGAGGAATTACCAATGAGAAACCTGAGGCAGCGAGAGAGGCTCCTGGTCGGCCTGCAGGGCCGTGTTTAGTTATGGAGGACGGAGAGTAGGAACCCAGAATTAGTTCTCAGCCCAGGTTCCCTCCAGAGACCCCCCCAGAAAGAGGCGTAATGTCAGCTGGTCTACTCACCTTCCTATAGATGGCAAATATGGTCCCAATGGAGGCCAAGCAGTCGATATTGGACGATCCATCCAGTGGGTCAAAACAGACCACGTATTTCCCCTGTATCACACAGGAAAAAACCACCAATCAGCTTATCTTCCCATTAGCATGGCTGTTGCTGCATGTGGAAGACAACTATGTCAAAAAGAAATTCAGAGAGCCAGGCACACTGGTGCATGCCTGTAACCCCAGTTCTTCTACTCTAGAGGCTGAGGCAGGAGAATTGAAAGTTCAAGTCCAGCCCGGGCAACTCAGTGAGATGCTGTCTCAAAATAAAAAGGGCTGGAGAGGTAGCTCACTGGTAGAGTTCCCTGGTTCAGTTCTGGAATTGGCACCATGCAATCAAGAGGTGGCAGCTTCAAGTGGTCCACAAAGGCAGTTATGTTTTAGGGACTACCCTTTCTGGGCCCATGCACCTGACAAGCGTTTTTCATCTTGCAGTATTTTTGCCCCAAATAACCGCCCAATTTAAGAAAATCTCAGAACATTCCCAGAGCCTCTGGGTCTGGTGCACAAACACACTAGGAAGTAAGAATATTCCTCTGGGTTTTGTTGCATCTCACCCACCAGTGTGATATGAACATCAGAAGGTAGACTCGGTGGGGTCCTGAGAAACCCATGTCCCCACATTTAGCACCCTGTCATCATAGGGAGCTCCTGCCAACGTTCTATGCAAGGAAAGCCCCAGCTGCTTTTTATGGGCTTCCCATGTGCGTGGCACTGAGGGAACAAACCTTAGTGAAGGAGACTGGAGTCTCCTGGCTAATTAAGCCCTGGTAATGAAATATCGAGAAAAATGGGACTCATTTCTTTCTCCACTCATATTAGTGTTCCCTGACTTTCTAATGAGTAATATTCTAGCTTCGTTTGAACTTTATTTCTTTTTCTTTCCATGCTTAGTCAGAGGGAGGGGGAAAGGGGATGATCCATAAATTTGGAAATCCTACAACCTCCCTGTGAATAATCCAATTTAGCCTATTCATTCCTTCACTCATGCCTGCAACTGATGGTGGAAAATGTCTAAGGTGGTGTGGTTTGGGGCAGAATACCTGCAGTCAGGGCCGATTCGTGGAGCTGTGAGTCTAGTGAAGAGGCTCGGTAACAGGGAACTCAACACTAACAGGATGTAGTACGTGCTCAGAAGAAAATCTCAGCAGGTGAGGGGTGAGAGACTGGTTGAGGCAGGTAATGTTAAATGAGAGGCTTGTTTAGAATTAAAAGATGGAGACACATAGAACAAGGGAGGGAAATGTCAGGCAGAGAGACTAGCAAGTGTCTCTGCATAGAGAGCAGGCATGAAGTGCTTTCAAGAACTGGCATGCGAACCTGTGCAGCTCAGGCCAGCTAGCGAAGACGGTGGGAGATTAGCCTGGACTCCACAAATCCAAACCCTCAAAAGATACCAGTGCCTATTACTGGTATATTAAATGAACACCTACCCACGAAGGCCTCTTAGTAAATCACTCTGATTTGTAGAATCATCTTTCACTAGGCAGCCTAATATTTCCAACTAAGGAAGCGTGCAATCTCTTGATTCCAGAAAACAAGTGTTAAGAAACGGAAGAAAATCCCTTAACTAAAAAGCAAGTTAACTCGATTTTCCCGGCTCCAGATCACCATCTACTGGTAAGGATGGGCACTGCAGCCCGCCCAGGACGCACCCTCCTCTCCTGGGAGGTGATGATGGCTTCTTTATTCTCTTCAGAGACCAGGACGCAGGTGCTGTAGGAGGACTGGAGCATGTTGATCACCAGAGCATTGGACAACACATCCAGTTTCTTCACCTCATCTCCCGTCACATTCACGCTTCCTGCGATTCCATACCTAAAGGACAAAAGGCCGAATAAAGTCACGGAGGAGGTTTCAACTTCAGCAAAGAATGCTCGGAGCTGAACACCACCACCAGGGCCCCCCTTTCCTTCGGCGTCTCCAAATTATGAATACTCAAGAAGTACATTATGCCTCACAGAGGTGACTCCTAACCTTGCTTTCCTGACACGTTGGGGACACTGTCATATTTCCTTCATCTCCCGAGATTAAGCAAAATTCAATCTTACTAAAATACAAACTTATTCCCAGCCCTGGGAGGCGGACCGGAAGGGAGAGTTTCTAAAACCAGATACAACGCTGCAATTAAGGACTCTAAAAATAAAGGATCGTGGCCTTCCAGCGCTGGAATTTCAAGCCTTTGTGGATTATCCTCAAGTAGAGTCCTGCTAGGTTGATTTAAAAATCTCCCTATGGTAGCTTGGTATTACATAAACAAAGAAAGAAATTTGGGGGCAGACTTAGCTAATAGAATTTGCTTTTTTACTACCATCCCAAGCAAGGTACGACAGAGCACTCCTATAAAAGCTCTATCGAGGCAAAGCCCAGTCCCCACACGAGTGTCAGGCACTGTAGAAGCTCTGTCCCCACGCTGCCGTGGCCTCTGGTCTCTCTCACCTCCTTCAGCCAGTCTTGGCCTCCAGAACCCCCAGCACACTTTCAGACTGATCACCAATCTTGTCAGCCTCCACCCACTCAGACCGTGACTCAAAGCTCATTTCTTGGAGAGGTCTTCCTTGGCCACCTATCAACAACAGCAACTCCCAATCCCAATGTCTTTCTAGTTTATTTCTCTCCCTCTCCCTGACAGAACCAGTTAGTGTTCATTTATTGTCTGTAATCTCCATAAAAGCATGGATTTCCCCCGTTTGGATGGTAGCTGAGTCCTTAGTGTCTCCACCCCTCTCTCCTCAGCAGTGAGGCCCAGTCACATCCCACCTGGACCACTCACACTCCTCCAGTTGCAAATGTCCTGTGGCCTGCAGCCCCCAGTGAGCTGTTCCTCTCCTTGCACCTTCATTCCTGGCCTGCTCCCACCCACTTCCACCGTGCCCCTGCACACTATGCTTTGCGCCCACTCTGACACTCACCCTCCTAAGCCCCTTGAAGAGTCCGTCATGTCCTCCCCACACCAGACACACCTGTCACCCCTCCTGTGCCGGCCCCATCTGTTCTTGGTTGGAGAGTCTTCCTGCTGTTGGCCCCTTGCTGAGGGCAAGCATGGTATCTTAACCATCTGGGTTTCCACAGTGCCCAGAGGCACAGTGGATGGTCCACACTGTGTTCACTGAATTACGAAGAAAAGATAGCCAGAATGTAATTTCCCCGCACCTCCTTGTTTTAATTAGGTTTATTTGATGAAGGAATCCCCAGGGGGTCCTAACCTTAGCCACAGTGGAGAGCCAAACCCTGATACCTGGCACTCTCCTCCCTGATTGACCACCTCCCCTCTTCAGCCCCACACCCACCCCGTCCTTGGAAGTCTCATGAACTGGGCCAGCAGCCTTGGAAAAGAGCACTGGTAGCCTGGCCTCAAAGACTGTACTGCCTGGTTCAAGAAAAAAGCTAAGCAAGCAAACAACAACAGCAACTTCTATAACAAACTGGGTCACTTTGCCTCTGCATTTGAGGGGTCCACAAACACAATTCTCTTGTTTAATCTTTTTTTTTTCTTTCTTTTTCCAGTACCAGGGAACAAACTTAGGACCTTGCGGTTTTGAGGCAGGTGTGGCACCACTGAGCTAAATCCCTGGCCCCAATCCACTTGTTTACTATGGAATCTTGAGGCTTCCTGAAGCTGGGAAATGAAGAGCTGTGGTGTGTAAGCCTGGGGTGGCCAGGCCTCTCCTTGCTTTGCAAACCATCACCACCATAGTCCTGCCAGGTCTATCCCTCTGCCTGCCCCTGCACCCTCCCTCCACCTCCTGCACAGCACTCCTCCTTCCTGAAAGACTGGAAACTCACAATGATCTGTAATTTCCCAACAGTTGCTTCAACTCAGATCAGGCATGAGTGTTTTCCACCCACAGGACAGCAGTGTCTTTAGCATTTTAACTAGCATTAATGCTCACCGACAACTTCTAAATGGAATGTTCTACCATCTGGGCAGAGAAAGCTATGGAGAGGCTTCCAGGAGTGTGCAAACTAGCATTCACTTCTCACAGTAAGATGAGGGGTGATAGGGATTTTGGATAACTTTAAAATTGTAGTTATCAAGCCCGTGCATAGAAATGTCTTCCGAAAAGGGGAAGCAGAGGAATAGGGCTTTAGGTTCCCGGAAAGTGGGAGGAATATGTGACAGTCTGAGTCTCACAGGCAGAAGCAAGGCTGCTCCAGGACAGAGGATAAGCTTTTCGCTCTCATAGACGCATTTCCAAGGGCCCAGGATCCCGGTTTCAACTGCGCAAAAGAAGTGGAATTTTGTCGCCCTGTTTCCAGGGCTGCGTCTGCCACCTAGCGGTCACTTGGCTGCATCGGCCAGACAGCAAATTTCTCCAGATCTGGACTACGACCCATGGTAATAATGGAACATCAACTGAACGTTTATTATGTGGCTGGCACTATAGAAATCGTCAATCACACAGACTTACTAACCCTGAAAACCACCCTACTGCTTAGGGGTTATTACTATTCTCTTCATCTTACAAATGGGTAACAGCCTAGCAGTAGTAGATCTTTGCCCATTGATCACGTTGTAGGAAAAGGCAAGTTAGATAAGCACCTTAATTATCTAGTTCCTAAAACCAGTTCGTATTGACACCCAACTACCACAAAGGCAGAGCTTTGAACAAATGAGTAAAAACTCAACCCAGGGAGCTGCTTGGCAGCTGGGAACCCTGCACGGGGAAGTCCTGTTAATGTGGGTGGATAATTGTGGGATGTCACCAAGGAAATTGCCAAATATGACAGTGCCCATATACAGAGAGAGACAGCGATGCTCTCCTAATGTCACTCAGGAATGGGGCAGGGCCATGTGCCTGCACCTCACACTCAGGAAGGCCCTTGGAGGCAAAGCTGGGTCATTATTGCAAGTGTGACCGCAGCCCATGGACAGGGCAAAGGCTGAGTGTAATACATCTTTGACCAGGGTCTCATTATTGAGTCTCACACCCTAATATAAATAACATCTATAATTATCTTATAATAATTAAATCTTATGATATAATATTTTCTGTTAAAGCACTACATTGCTAGGAATAAATATTTTATTTTTATTTTTTATAAAAATGTATAACTTTATTATCATTCACTAAACACACATATACAAAAATTAAAATTATTCAAAGAAAAGCAATGCAAAGGAAAAAACTATAATAATATTCAGATATAATAGAACTCAACCAAAGCAAAACTGAAAAGTACTTAAACATTTTTCCATATAATTAAAAAAACATCTCAAGCATTAACAAGACATCAAAGGATGTGATTTATTTTAGATTTACAAGACTAATATTGAACAAATAGTGGTCTGGAAAAAAATTCTAATTAGCTAGTAGACTCCACATAGGCCAAATTTTTTAAATTTAAATTTCAATACACTCATGTGATGCATGATGGAAATATAATCTGAGAAATATGTTATTAGCCAATTTCATCTGTGTGTATAGCAAAGTACCACACAGAGTGCCAACTTCTAAGAGCAAACTGAGAAAGTATACATCAATCACCTGTGATATTATCCAAATATGCAGTTAAACATGAGATACTTGAGGCTACCACTGGCATAGCAGCACACTGTTTTACAGTAAACTCTTTTATATAAGTAGGATTATGCTCTAAAGGATGAAAAGCAAAGCATGTTATGATAAGTACCTGAAACAGTAACAGTCATTTATCACACTATCGAGTACTGTGTACTGTACATAGTTGTATGTGCTTCTTCTGGAAACACACCCTTCTCTCTTTTGATCTCAGTGACTCTTCCTTCCCAACCCACTATGAGCTCCAGCCTAGTCTTTATCTACAATTCTTCCTATAGTTTAAAACACAACCTATATATGGATTCTTTCTAGATTCCAGCCTGTAACTCTGATCTCTGCCCTTCTCCTCCTGCCACCCCTACCCCTTTGGACCTTTTCTTCCTATTTCAAATTATGAATTATTCATTTTTATTATTTTAATCCTTATTTACACTTTCAGTTTCTCACACTAGAGAAACTATTTAGTATTTACACATGCGTGTCCTGTTTATTTCACTCAAGAGAATGGGCTCAATATGCATCCATTTAGCTATAAATGTCTCTAGTTTCTCATTCTTTATGGATGAGTAGTACTCCATTTTATAAAAAAATCACGTCTTCTTTATCCATTTTTCAGTTGATGGGCACTTGGGCTGTTTCCAAGCTTCAGCTACTACAAACTGTGCCGCTATAAACATGGGTGCATATATATTATATCGTTGTGGTATGATTCTTTTAATTCTTTTTTGGAAGATACCCAGCAGGGGAATAGCTGGGTCAAATGGGACCTCTAGTCCTACTTCTTTGAGGTAGCTCCATACTGAATTCCACAGTGGTTGCACCAGTCTGCACTCCCATCAACAATGGAGAAGGGTTCCTTTCTCCCCACACCCCCACCAGCATTTGTTATTGGATGATTTCTTGATAGCAGCTATTCTTTGTGGGGTGAGGTGGAATCTCAGTGTTGTTTTCATCTGCATCTCTCAAATAACCAGTGATATTGAACATTTTTTCATATACTTATTTGCTGCTCTTGCTTCTTTGTCTGAGAAATGTCTGTTCATTTCAGATGCCCATTTTTGAATTGGGTCTTTGGATTTGGGGGATTTGATCTTTTTCAGTTCTTTATATATTCTAGATAGTAATCCTTTGTCTGAGGTACAGCTGGTGAAAATTTTTTCCCACATTGTAGGTTGTCTCTTAGCTCTGTTGCTTGTTTATCTTGCAGTGAAGAAGCTTTTTAATAAGATGAGATCCCAGTTGTTGATTCTTTGTGCTAGTTCCCTTGCTACTGAGGTTTTGTTAATAAAGTCTTTT